TTGACAGCTGCGGGACCTGGCTCTGCTTCCATCACTGAGGGCAGGACCCACATGGGCAGGGCATTCAGCCAGGCAGCTGGGATGTGGCTGTGGGCCAGCGGGGAGCAGCATTTGGGAGCAAGATGGGTGGATGGGGTCAGAGAGATCCTGGGATTTTGGGGCGATGACAGCCAGGGCCAGGGCAGAGCTGTGATCCATTGCCCGTACATCCCTGCCATGGGTGCCAGTTACATGGGCAGGGGCATGCAGGGAGTGGATCACATCTCTGCCCTGGCCTTAGCCCCACCTTGTCAACTCCCCAAAATCCTGGACCCAGCGCCAGACACAGCTCCTTGCCTGTCCGTGTGCACTGTGCACATGGCTCCCAGCCAGTCTCTATAGTGACCCCGGGATTGCAGTCACTGAGAGCACAGGGCTGGGGCTGGGGCTCAGCCCACAGAACTTGGGCTCTGCCCTATGGGGAGTACGTCATGGCTCTGCCCAGCTGTGGCTTGGCACTCCTGGCAGGGCTTTTATTGACCCATGATCTCGGGGTCTGCATAGACTTGCCAGGAGCTGCGTCCAGGCCCGGGACAGCCATGATCCACTCCTTCCATGACCCTGCCCACATAACCTGTGCCCCTTGCAGGGGTGTATGGGTAGTGGATCGCAGCTGTGCCCTAGGCCCTGGCCCCATGTTGTGTCTACTGCCCTGTGATTCTAGCCTTGCCTGCCTATCCTGCTCCTGAACACCACTTCCTACACACCCATGGCCCCATCCCACATAGAGTTGGTGAGCTGTTGTGTGAGGGGTGCTGACACAGCCCGCAACAGCTTAGCAGAACTCCTTATGTGGGCCAAATAATTGCCCACTCTCTGGTATATCAGCTCTTCTGTGATTCTGATTAGGACTGGCCAAGTAGGCTAACTGGCCTTTGGTTTCCCAGATAATCCTAGTTGTCTGTTTTTGAATACTGTTATGAATTTAGTTTCCTTCCAATATGGAATAGTGGAATTTCCCCAGTATGACAAGATTTCATAAAAATTAACATCAGTATGCGGAACTTGCCAACCATTAGGACTCTTTGTCTGTATCCCGATGAGCGCAGCTGTGCGGTATGCGCACTGTGCTGTGGCAAGGAAGTTTGGCAGCCTGCCCATGTCCCCCACACAGATCCAGAGGGCACATATTCCCACCATGCTTGCCCAGGAGTGCATGCAGTGGTGGGAGCCTCTTTGGGTATTGCAACACTGGGAAGTACTTCATTTTAGTATATTTTCCTTTGTTCTTTGTGGAACAGAAAAAATTTGAATATCACTGCATTTTTTTTTTGCATTTTATTAACCCCTTCACTGTCTCCATTTAACAAGGGATTATTGCTAGGATAAATTTTGTATTTAGTTTGTTAATATTTTTCAAAGGGAAAAATCTTTCTTAATGTCTGGAGTATGCATCTGTTTGCTGATATCTTTGGCTTCCATTATCGTTTTCATTAATTCTTTGCTGTTTGTTTCCTCCTTTGCTGTCTCTTGCTTTGTTACCATTGAGCCAAGATGGGCTTTTAATCCAGGATGGTTCATTTTGAACCCTATCTATTCAAGGTTCTGCACTTTTGAGTTATTGATAATTCTAGAAAAGTCTTTAAAGAACAGTGCCAGTCCTCCACCCTCTTATCTACTCTTTATTTCCTGAGCAAGTTAGAACAACTTAAGTTCTGTGGTCCATGGCTTGACTGCTTTAAAAGGGGATGGTGAGCTGCTGCTCAAGAGTCATCAACTATTATGCTCTGTTGCATAGGCCTGATTACTGAGATAGACATACAAGTTAGTTAAATTGCCTGAACTTGTCCCCTGGAGGAATCAGGGTTGCAGCTGGAACTGTTTTGCAACACTTATATTGCTACATGCACATGTGCTATTCCTAGCATAGTAGCTGATGCATGGTTCAAGTATTAGCTTCTCTCTTTTTTTTGGAAGCTGTCCCAAGTGTAATTTTGTTCATAACTTGTTATATACATGCATATTTCTGTAGGAATACAAATTTGCTAGATTTCTGTAACTTTAACCTGGAATGAAATAGGGTTGAAATTGCAACAGTTTTGCTACACTAGCATTACTAGGGAGCATGTAGACAAGAATTACATAGTAAATAGTCTAATCTGGGAGACGAGTATTTTTAGTCATCTTTTAGTGAGCCATTTGAGAAGTTGAGAGAGCTGGTGGACAAGCTTTTGGGCTTCAAGTGTCCTTTGGGTCAGAGTAAATAATAAGCTGTTGATATTGATACAGTTGTTACATTTGGCTTTACCCTTTATTTTAACATTCCAGTTGTGTGAGTTATCCCTTCAGGTTTTGGAAATGAATTTTGCCTCATCAGTGAGCATATCCAGTTCCTCTTGCTTTATCTAGTTTTGTAGCTCTGATATGCAAGCGATTTAAACATTTCTACCTTTTCTACCAGTTCAGTTTTTACTAATCACTCATGGCCAGCAGTCGCACACTGCATTTATTAGTTTTAGTGTCCTTCTGGCTGCTTCAGTAGATATCCTTTGCATCTGTTTCCAGCCTTAATAAAACTAACCTGTAACTTTGGATGCACCCTATGTTTATCTTCCAACCCCATGACATGAACATGGTTTTTCTAACTTGGTTACTGACCCAACTTACGAGTTGTTTGATCTGAACCTGTTTTATTAACTTCCTACTACAGTTTGCTATTAAACAGGCCTCCTTATCTCCCTGTTCAATACAATAGACATTTCTTACAGCCAGTAACATCATAAAGTTAAGAACCCACTGTCCCCTATCATCCTTCACATATGGCTGCTTCTACAGTTACATTTTTCTTAAACAGCAGCACTTAGGTTAGTAGGACTTCTGTAGTTTCAGAGTATTTGGATTTGGTGACTTAACTGAGAGCAATTTAAAATTTAGTGGAAAACCATTTTATATTGGAATGGCTTTGCCCAAACAAAATGAGAGATTTAATTCTAATGAGTTTGACTGAATGTAAAAGATGATTTTTTTTCTTTTCCTTTTGCTTGATGGAGATGCATGGTACATTATAGGAGAATGTCCTGAAAATTCAGTCCTACAAGGAAATACAGTTGAGATGAGATTAAATGTTTGAGGTCATTTCAACAAACCAAAACATTTTTCACTTTAGGAATATCAGTGTTTTTTAATGAAAATATTAAAATGAAATGTTTCAGTAACAGTTTTTTTTAAAAGTTTAACTCTGTGTAAAATCTTGAAATTCTAATCATCATGTTTTTAAGATGAAAAGTTTATTGTTGACATTTCCCATGGGATAGAAATCCAAATTTCACTCGGCTCTAAAATTAGTAAATAACTTTGTGGTGCTGTAATCAGAAAATGTGCCTGAAAGTTCTCCTTCAGAAAGATGGTGAAATCGAGCAGCATGTCTGAAACCTTTATTTCAGAGATGATTTCTTCAGAAATAAAATGATAAGGAATCTCTTTCTTTATTGGCAATGGTCACTTGTTTTTAATTTGTCTAGCAAATTACAGCAAATTTAATTCAATAGTAAAGTAGAATATCTCTAGAAGTCTAAAGTAAGACATGGAAACTGTCGCAAGGTATGCAGACTAAAACAATTATTAACAAACAACTGCAAATACAGCTGAAAGTGGTTTCCAAATCTTGTGGTATCATGTGAGTTTCACCATTCTGAAATCTCATCACTGAATAAATCATGGCAATGTTAAGTTTTGTATACTCCCTCCTCCCCCCCAGTTATGTCCTACTGGGTTTCCCCTGATACAGTCCATGTTTCTAAAAAGGAAGTGGACACAGCTAGGTGTCATGATCTTAACAGGGAAGTGGGGAAGAACCGACTAAGCTTGTTTTTAACTTTCCTCAAGTCAAACGTAGGCAACTCCTAGGGATTTGGCTACCAATGTCTTTGTTTGGTCATGTATACCATCCAATGACATCTTTTAAATATTTGGATCCACACTACCTTGGAATTTTAGACCATCTCAGCTCCAGTTTTGGTGCATTTATAATGACTAAGCCCATCCAGTTGGGAAATCTCAACTGCTGTGAAGTCTCTGGATGTGGTCTTATACTAACTCCCATCCAGATTCAGCATGTAGGCTGTCTAGGTGGCGAACACAGTGCTCTCCAATAAGAGTTTCAGTTGGCATGCAGTTTTCTATGATCATAGTCATCTTTTGTATATATAGCCAACTATGCTGAGGGTAGGATGACTTGGGGATCCTGTTGTTGATCCCTGTTATGCAGGGATCCCTTCCCTGGCAGCGAATCCGCTTGGCACAGGAGAGAATCAAGTCCTAAGTCTCCATGTTGAAGATGATGTTTCAGCCATTGAAGATGTTTCAAATGGTTGTTGTCAACAAAAAGGAAGTTACTTACTAGAGATGCAGTTTGTAACAGATCCGTACCAGCAGATGGATGTTAGGGTATTTTGTCATGATTTTAAAATACCTGATCATTTGAGGTTCTAATTTTCTCTAAAGGAACTAGTTAGTGAGTCACTGTGATTAGGGTAGACGCAAGCACAGCCTTTGTTTGCTATAACAAATAACTCAGACTTTAAATTTGAGGGTAGCCTAGAGAGGCAATCAACTCTTTCATCTTAACAGATAATAATATTTACAGATGGCAACATTTTTCAAGCCAAAATAATAAATTTATCAGCAAGTCGGATCTCAATACTGATTTACCATATTCCTGCAAATACTTGACTCTCCCATTTTCCCTTGCAAATGATATGATCCATGCTGCCAGGTCAACAGTCTTATTTGTGAAATTTGGTCCGTTTTAAATAGCTTAAAGCATAACCGGGAAAAGGGATTGAAGAAGTGAACCTCCAGTTCTGAAAATATTTGTGACTTTTTAAAGGGGGTACTTTTTTGTACTTGCAAAATCTGTACTGTGACAATATTGTGAACCAAAGAATTCAGAATAGTAGAACTGTTTTACACCATTCCATGTTCCCCCCCCCTCAAAAAAAAAAAAAAATTATGTATTTCAGAGGAATTCATGATGTTAAAGCCACAGACATGGGAATGAGCAAAGTGAGATTCAAGGCAGAAGTAGACTTTGATGGACGGGTTGTTACTAGTTCTTACCTGGAAAAACAAGACATTGAACAGCTGCTACAAGTATGTTTTAATAAAGTTATATTGTTTCCAGCATGGGCCTGGGGTTCTTGTCAAATATGTTAAGAGCTTCCCATTATCAAATATGTTGAAAGCCAAATTTGCAAGTAGATGGGTTGTATTATTTTGCACTTTTGAAGAATTCCAGAGGGATTTATATACTAAACAGGTAAAGTATACACCTAAGATCAGACAAACCACTACTGAAATAAAACCATCTATGGGCAGGAGTGTAACATGGATGTACTTTTAGTGTGTGGCAGTTGAGCAAGCCAGGAATTTTTAGATTAAAGTTTTTATTTGAAAATTGGCAGATTTGACAAATCCAGATGGTTACTCCTCCCTGGCTATGGGGGACAGGATTAGAATAGCCTCTTGCCATTCTCTTTATAACTATGCTTCCAGTATTTGAACATCTATCAAAAGTATCCTTGGTCTTCTCTTCTCCATATTTAAATAATCACAGTTATTCCAATCTTTCCTCATAAATCACAGTTCTCAGACCTCTAATCACCTTTGTTGCTAGCCATTGGAGTTAGTTTTAACTTGCCCATGTCTTTCTTTAAGCATGGTGCCCAAACCTGGATGCAGTAGTTCAGGTAAGGCCTCAGTGCTACATATATACGGAGGAAGAATCACTTCCCTTGACTTGAAATGACAGTCCTGTTAATACAACCTAGTATGCTATTGGCCTTTCTTGCAACAAGAATGTACTGTTTGCTTTTATTCAGTTAATAACCCTCAGGTCCTCTTTTGCAGTACTACAGCCTAGGAAATCATTTTTCAGTTTGTATTTTTTTGCATGTGAGCATTCTTTCCTAAGTGCAAGACTTTGCACTTATCCTTATTGAATGTCATTCATTAAGTTTCTAACTTATTCCAGTTTATCAGGGTAACTTTGAATCCTAATAATAGAGATGTCATATTTATCTTAAATATACTGTAGACACATTGCCTGTGACTGAGAGAGCACTACAGATATTGTTATACTTGAATGTGAGGAAAACTCATGTTAGTGCTGCACTATATAACATAGTCCATATTCAGTCAATTTGCTTGGACTTTGGTGAAAAATTGATAGTGGATATCTGCCTTGTACTCATAAAGCATTCCACCCTGCTTAGTTAATCTTGTTTTTTAGATTGGGTGTACCACTGGCTTCCTGCAGTCTGAGTTTACTTGCCGGATGTTCTCTTTGCTGGGTGTTTTTTTGGTAGAGCGGGAGTGTCCTGTACATAGCAGTTAATTTTGTGAATTGTATATACTTTTGTGTATAAGTAAATACATTTACTTTGCAGTGTATGTTGCCCACAGTATGCAGGAGGGGTAGGTAGAGTGGCAAAAAGATACAGGGTGAGAAAAGGGCAGGATGGGAGCAAGTGCTTTGCTTTGAGACTCTTACTATTTATTAATTATTTGATAGCTCTTTGTAGACGTGAATTTTGACAAAATAAACTGCAACTATGTAAGCCTTCTTTGAGGAATAAAGGAAAATCATTGAGAAGTAAAAGGGAATAATTGTACGTGGTGTAGATTTGCTGTGGCCAAAATGTTCTTTGTTTATTTTTAAACTTATCCATTTTGCTCATCCTCACTGCTTGAAAAGTCAGACTACGTGTGGTTGTGATACAAAATGAGCCCTACTTTTCCTCGATAAAACACACTGCCAATTAGGAAACATGGAAATATGTTCAGATTTAGTTATGTAAATGAAGTGTTTCTTTTTTAACTTTTCGTCCATTCTCTCAACTTTCATTCTTTGTCAGGAAATTCAGCAGGTGAAGACACTAGAGGAACTAGAAGCTTTTATGCTGAAGCATGGAGAGAATATTATTGACACCCTGGGAGCAGAAGTAGATCGGCTTGAGAAGGAGTTAAAGGTAAGATTCAACTGGTGGGCCTTCTTTTTTTAGGAACTGTTGTGCAGAAATGTTCAGTCTGACTTCTTCCCTGTGTAATAGGCTTTTAAATAAAATCAAAGGCACTTTAAAAAAAGTTTCATTAAACGAATCTGACTTGGAGAGCAAACATTTATCATCTTTTTCATCTGTTTGACATGTTTAGATTTTCTTTAGCTTTATCTCTTCATACTACTTGCTGCTTCAAGATTATTACTATTTAATAGTTATTTTTTATGAAATATTACCTATTTGCATGCACTGAATTTGCACAGTCATCTCAGCATCAAGTAATTTATAATTCTACTTTGGTTATAATGAAAGGGAAGTTTTTAAATGTTTTGTAATCCTACACTTACTGTTGTGTCAAAGCTAATTGGCTGTATATGAGAACTCTAATTATTAGACTTCTGCTCTTGGCAAACAGTAGAACATTTAATTTCCACTATTACTTTAATATTTCTTAGTTCCCTCATAGTTGCTAAACAAGAATGTTGTTCATGTCAGGATTTAAATATTTTGAATTGGAACAGTGTAGGAAGGTTATGTGGTTATTAAACTCTTTACCTGTGACATCGTGGGGTAGGCATGTTGGCATGCTTTCATTTTCACTTGTCATAGTATATATAATGGATGACATAAAGCAGAAATATTTGGTTTTGCATAGTCTTATTATATAGGGGCCTTTCAGGTAAATATTTCTGCTGATCTGTGTGATTTTTTTTTTTTTTTTTTTTGTGAATTCTAGAGTGAGGTTAATGAGCTAGGCAGAGATAACAGTTGGTGTTGTCACTCCTGTGTGGGATTTTAAGTCCCGTTCTGGTATGTTAGTATATGAATTGTTATATAACACGTGTATAGATGTATGTATAGTGTGCACAGATGAAAGAAAATCCAATATATAATTCTTAGTAAGTAGAGGCTGGGAATTTGTAGAAATACATATGGATTTGGATTTTAATGCTCAAGGATGTAGCAGACTTAATAATTATTTATATTTTTGCATGTGGCTTTCTTGTTTTATGATCTGTTAGATCAAAAATTGAGAGGAGTGGGGTCTGGAAGAAGCAACTTGTCTACTCTGTTGAAAAGATAAAGGGTGCACCTGGTTCATGCTCTCTTATGGCTGACCAATAGGAGGAATAATATATACAAATAACTACTACTGGTGTTCATGAATTATACACAAGGAAAACATGATTATATATAAAATTCAGGAAAACCTGCCAGAGAAACTTTTTTTTTAATAACAGCATTTCTGTTACTTGTGACCTTGACTGACTGTGGCAAAAAATGTCTCATGTCCTGTTCTCTCCTCCCCCCCCCCCCCCCCAAAAA